AAAAGAAACAGAAAGTGGAATGGTGGTTGCCAGGGGCTGGGGGCAGGGAGAGGAAATGGGGAGTTGTGTTTAAAAGGTATAGAGTTTCAGTTTTATAAGATGAAAAAATTCTAGAGCTCTGTTGCACAACAATGTGGGAATATACTTAACACTCCTGACTGTACACTTAAAAATGGCTAAGGTGACAAATTATGTGTTTTCTCCTACAATTTTAAAACAAAAAGACCACATAGTACTACAGAACACAGGAGAAAAATTTGAGAAAAGGAAGAGCAACAGGACAATAAGGGTTTCCATTCTGAATGTACCCTTGAATGTCAAGGGTGGAGACAGAGCAAAATGAGGCCTCCAGGCTCTGACAGCATTTCTGTTCAAGCTGTTTCAGATCTAATTAATTATTAGGGTATCTACAAGACATCCTAAACAGGGTACACGGTTATTTCCTCAAATCTTCACCTAGTAGCAGAAATGGGCAGTGATTCCCCAGGGTGTGGGAGGTTCTTCCTGCTTGCATTAGCTGTGGCCTGGACTGGGGACTCCTGCAAAGGGAATCCTAGTTCCCACGTGGCAGGAGGTGTAAGGACTCAAGGGTGGTTAGAAAAGGGAGAAAAGGCACACATTATATGTTTCATATTCTATTTGTCAAAACATTCTCTCCACCTATTTTTTTTATATATACTACAAAGTTTAAGCTTCTCAGGTCTGTTCTTTACATGCTAGCTAATAGAATTCAAGCACTGAGCCTTGAGAATACTTAGATGGGAAAAGGGGGACATGTTCCCTTTAATCTACAGCTGCCAAAAAACTCGACACCATGTTGCATCCTAAGATTATCTCTGACAGAGGCAAAGATGAACTGAGTTTACAAAAGTATCAGTATGAGAATCTCCTTTCCACTGTGGAGACTTCCTTTACAAAAGCTGTTTTCTGTTTAACAAACCAGTCATTTAAGACACTTGGATGGAGGCAGGGTGTTGTTAAATACGTAAGATGTAACCCTTAATCCCCAAAAGAAGACCATTTAATTGGCTCTCTTAATTATTTATATAATTTTTAGACAAAACCTTTATTTAAATCTTATTACCATGTTAAACCAGAAGGGAGCTCTGGCACTTTCTTCTCCCTTCATGCCTGGAGGCAGCTAATAAAACCATGGCTGTTGAATTCCTTATTCAAACAAAAGGTGTGAAAGTCTTTGTCTCATTTAAATTAACCTAGGCTAATGGGATAAATGTGGAAAAGTCACAGGGGGTGGAACAAGCAATTTCAGTCAGGGTCCAAAAGCAGCTGTGATAACAGAAGAAGAGACTGTAGTAAGAAACTGAAGGAATAAAATTGCAAGGAGGCATAGGAGGTCAATCCCAGTCTAGTAAGAACGTGGGAGTGGACTTCCCTCTCAATTTCCTCAGCTTCTCACCACTACAGTCTATGTCTACTGTCATCCAGTGTTAATAGCACTGCTAGTTACAGTTTTCCAGAACTGGTTACAACAAGAAGCCTTTGTAGTTTTCACATTTTATTTTTACACCACAATGTTTTACAGAGACGAGCATAGCTGAGCAAGATCTTGACCTTAGGCCCTTTTTTCAGATGGTTTTGTTGTTGGAGGTGAAGGTGGAGTGGGGGCTGTTAGATATTTACCAGTGTTTTCCATACAGCCAATGGCCTCCCCATGTCAGCAGGCAGATCCCAGCCGTCGTTTTCTTCCAATGATTTCTAAGTGTTTTAAAGAACACGGTCATCTTCTCCTAAGGATTTGCTAGGTTAACAGGGGCAGAAAAAGAAAAAGGTAAGTACCCCAACTCACTGTTTAGAGGCCCCCTGACTGCCTTCCATCCACATGTCCTGTTTTCCTTCCCTCATTCCTATTCCTTCTTGCCACTTCTCTGGCCTCTTCCCATCTGCTCCCTTCCAGGCTCATTAACTTCATCTTCTCACTGCCCACCTGCCTTTCTTCTTTCTTTCTTCACTTCCTTCTACCTAAACTCACTTCTTCCCTCTCTGCTCACCTGAACCTGACTGTATTAGAAGTGGAGAAGTGCAGAGAAGGGAATTCCAGGCTTCCTGCTTTTTCTTTCTCCCTACATTCACTATACCACTGTTTAAGAGTATTTGTCTATTATATATAAAGGACTCAACAATAAGTAAGTACTATAAAGCGCTTACTCAAAACAGAGGAAAACACTAGCCCCTCAATAGGAAAATAAGCAGAGAACGTGCACAGAAAATTCAAAAGGCAAATGCAAATGGCTGTGTGAAAAAGTTCAACTTCCTAGGTAATCGAAGACATGCAAATTACAAAGAATTAGCACTATTCACCTCTAAAACTAATAAATTTTTACATGGCCACATTCACTAACGACAAAATAAAAGGAGACAGACACACTCATGCACTCCTGTAAGCAAAGTAAATTCACACAACTTTACTAAAAAACCAAGTGACAATATAGATCCTTATTCTGTTTGTTTTCTTCACAGCACTTATCATTTAGTGATCCTTATTTGCTAATTTGTTTATGAGCTTATCCCACTGGAACGTCAACTCCACAAGAGTAAGGACTTTGTTCTGGTCACTGCTATATCCCCAGTGCCTAAAATAAGATCTGGCACATAAGAGCCATTCAACAGCTACCTGCTGAATGTCATAGGGTTCAGGACATACTACCGCAAAATATGGCAACCTAGCATATTGAATATTTTAAGCTAAAGGAGGTTGAGACAATGACCTCCCCACCTGACCCTACTTCCCTGAAATAGGTCATAAAACCCTCATCTATGAAGTGCCCTCCCTAAACCCAGAAGAGAGGAGCATCATCTCTGAAGACAAAGCGATGCCAAGAAGAATCCTGACAGACAGGCCTTGCTAAGTTTCCCGTTTACTTCGATTTCCTCATACTCAACCTAGCATATTCCGTCACGACTGTCCACCCTTCATCAAACCTAATTTTTTATTCACTTGAGGAGAAACCAAGAAAGGTTTATACTTAGGCAACTGACTGAATAAGGCTTTCGATCATTAGATTTGGAGCGTAGGTTTGTGGAGAAAGGTAGCATGTGCAGTTGAGACAGTGAGTTTGAGATGCCTGTGGGATATCCAAGGGGACATTCAAATGATCAGTGGATGTCTGGATCTAGCAGTTTGAAGCTAGGAGAAATTGGGTAGAAGATACAGATTTAGGACTCGTCAGTGTGAAGGAGGTCAAGTTTGAGTGCACATAAAAATCACCCAAGGCAAGGGTAGAGAGGGGGAAAAACGCCAGTACTGTCAGAGAACAATCTGAGAGTCAATAAAAGTCTGTTTACAGGCCATCCATGATCCAGGGGAACTCCCTTTTTGTCACAAAATAGCGGTTCGTGCATAAAAACGTGGAAACACGCAGGCAATCTAGTGCAGTGAAATGAGCAGCGGTGCAAGGATCCTGAGGCCTAGATTCCAGAGTCGCTTGATCACTTCCTGACAGTGAGAGCCTGGGTAAGTCACTTGGCCTCTACTCTCTTTCCCTGTCAAGTGAGAACACACCACCTGCTCTGATTAACTCAGCTGGCTGTAAAAAATCACATCTGATGAGGTTGTGAATGCGCATTACTCATTAGTAAGATGAGGATACAACACCTGCTCTGATTAAGTCATTTGGCTAAAAAGATCACATCTGAAAGAACTGTGAATGCACTTTGTAGATTTTTCTGGATTTAAGTTGTCATGACAATGGGCAATATATGAGCCAACAATGCATATTCCTTCTAAGTACCCAACAGAATTCATATTCCTCAATCTCAGTTAAGGTCTAAATTTTATATGTTCAAATTAACATCTCTCCTCTGTAAAGCAGGTTGGCCGGCTGGTTGGTTATTACCGTGGTTTTTTTGGTTGTTTTTTTTGTTTTTTTATATATATTTTTTTAAGATTTTATTTAATTGACAGAGAGAGAGAGAGAGACAGCGAGAGAGGGAACACAAGCAGGGGGAGTGGGAGAGGGAGAAGCAGGCTTCCCGCCGAGCAGGGAGCCCGTGTTTTGTTTTTTTATTTTTTTATTTTTTTTAGATTTTATTTATTTATTTGACAGAGAGAGGCGAGAGAGAGAGCACAAGCAGGGGGAGTGGGAGAGGGAGAAGCAGGCTTCCCGCCGAGCAGGGAGCCCGTGTTTTGTTTTTTTATTTTTTTATTTTTTTTAGATTTTATTTATTTATTTGACAGAGAGAGGCGAGAGAGAGAGCACAAGCAGGGGGAGTGGGAGGGGGAGAAGCAGGCTTCCCGCCGAGCAGGGAGCCCGATGCGGGGCTCGATCCCAGGACCCCGGGATCATGACCTGAGCCGAAGGCAGACGCTTAACGACTGAGCCACCCAGGCGCCCCATCCCGTGTTTTGTTTTTTTAAAAGAACTCCCAAATTCTAATTGTACTGGGCCCTCCTCACCTGTAAGGTGGGGATTTTCTCACTAGACTGGACCCCTCACGGGTAGGCGCTGTCTATGCCTCTCTAGCAAACACAACCTAGTAAAGCACCTGGAATGAATGAACCCACCAATCCATCAATCGATCAAAAACGATTCTCCCCGTTTTGCAAATGAGCCGAAGCCCAAAGGGGAAAATGAGTAAGGGTCACACAAGGCAGCAACAGCTCTGGTCCCAGGACCCAGGCCAGCTGACTCGCAGAGTGACACCCGGACCCCGCCATCCCGGGGGCCCCGGCTCCCACCCTCCCGACGCCCGGCCCCCGCAGCCCCCGAGGGCCCCCCACCCCGGCCCCGGCGGGCTCCCGCGCTCCAGCCCGCGCCCCGGAACCCTCCGCCCAGCCCCCTCCCAACGGCCCGCGCGCCGCTCCGCGCCGCGGCCCCGCGCCACTCACCCGGGCCGCTCCCGCTCACCGCCCTGCCTTCCTGTGTGCTCCCTCAAGCTTCCCCCGCGCTTGTAAGGGAAACCGCGCCGCCGCCCTCGGGTTCCGCTGCGCCTTCCGACGCGCGGGGGCCGCCGCCTGGGGGCCGCCTGCGTGGCTCCTTCGCTCCTTGGCTCCTCCGTGCGTCCCTTCACCATCCGCTTGTCGCTACATGGTATTTGAGGGGAAGCCTACCAAGGCAGACGCTGTTTTGGGACCTGGCACTGAATCGGAAAAATAAACGAACGGGCAAATTCAGATCCTAAGTACGAAAGAAAGAAAGAAAGAACGAACCGCAGGATATGAAGGGAGCGAGTGCGAGAGCACTCGTCTACATCGGGCGGTCGAAGGCGGCCTTTCCGAGCAAGGGGCAACTGATGTGATGGGAAGGCACTGAGGGGATTCAGGCAGGGGGATGATGGGATCCGGTTCCGTGGCCGCGGTGTAGTGAGTAAATTCCAGAGAGCAAGAGAGCTACAGGGAAGCCAGGGCCCATGCTGACCACCGGGCAGCAGTTCTAATTCCGTCCTCCTCCCCCCAGGGCCTCTCCCCTCCCCCACCCCACATAGTTTGGGGACTACCCCAGTCAATCCAGGTTTCTTTCCTACCTTCTTCCTTCCGTCATTCCAGCAACCAGCTTTGCTGAGTGTGGAGTATGTGCCCGGCGCTGGGGATTGCTCGTGTACCGCACCTCTCATGGTTCCTGCCTCCGTACACCTTGCATTCTAGATTCCCCGTTTGCTACATACAGACGTGAGTCCTTCCTGTCTTGCGCTACATGTACGTTTTAGGAAACGAGGACATCCAGAAAGGTTATGGCGCAGTAAAGCATACTCTGCCAGCTTCTAATCCTCACTGGGCCGCACTAGATCGTGTGAACTTGCTGGCCCTCTCTCCCGAGGCTGTCTGTAATTACAATTAGGGGAGTGAGAAGATCATCATAAAACACATCTTCTAGCTGTAAAATGTTGTAACATTGAAGGTATGGGAGACAGTTATTTCCACTTCTCTTTTCCCAACTATTTAGCACATTCGCGTTTGAAAATGAGTTGCTGAACTGCCTCCCTGTAAGGCTAGAAAAATCTGGGACTACAGGCAGGATGGTCCAATGGGCAGACTAAGCTTTAGGGCTTCAGCAAAACAGCGGTTTCCAAAAATGAGAAAAGTTCTGCTTGGATGAACGTACCATGATTTTCCAATCAGAAAATCTAGAAAGAAGTTTTTTTCTTAAAACTTAGGAGAGGAAAACTTGATTTTGAGTTGGAGCCATGGACTGTTGGAAAGATCAGGCATCACAAGGCAGATGCCCAGAAAGCCTGTGAAGAAGGGCAGCAGGTCTCTACTGCCTGGGAGAAAACCACACCCCTGGAGAGAGGCAGCCCCTCCATGGAGGGCAAACACAGACATGCATAGCATCACAGGCCTCATTTAGGACCATCCCTAACTGAAAAGTGCTCCTGGGGGCACTGGGGAATATTTGTTAGTTTACATTCTTTCTTTAATATGAAGTCTTCGATTCACTGTGGCCAGTACGGTGGTGAAAGGGGATGGTGATGTCAGCCTGTTGTGTTCCCAGCAGAGAAATCTGGAAACAACTCCCAGGTTTCTGCATGGATTATGAAACTAGAAAAGATGAGACATCTCCATGGAATAAAAACCTCAGAATTACATATGCAAAAGAGGAGTGGAGCAGTGGGGGGGGGAGGGGGCATGGCAGGTCTCTGAAAGAGACCTTGTGTTCTCTCCTTAAATTACATGCTTGTACAGATAGAAACAGGGGGGCCTATGACTCACACATGTCACCTACAAATGGGAAATATCTGCATCAAAATAGGACTAAGTCATAAATTAGTCATAAATTCATCTTCCAGGAGTTAACTGTACCCATTACAAGACACGTATTTACTGACATTTTAATGCATTGTCGTAGTATCCCATTTAGTTTTGAAGTTATATAACTCATGCTATTAATATTTTCCCTGTAGTAAGGCTACCGTTGGCCCTTTGGTTAAGCTAACGATTGTCCCCTCGAATCGTTCCCAGAGGGACCCTGTCCCCTCACTCCCATCCTATGAGGGATTATAGTGAAAGCCGCATCTTAAGCATGTAGCTTGTAAATGTGTAAGGACAGGACACAAATGATGCTCAAACATGGAAACTTCTCAAACGCTCTTTTCAGACATTAGTACCAGCATCGAGTGTTGTCCATGGAGATGTACCACCTGTTGTCCCACCTGCTGGGAGCAGTCCCCTCCAGGGACAGCCTCCAATGCAGTGAGTCATCTTCACCAATGTCACACCCTTCTGGAGGTGGCCCACATCCAGGGACTGATCTAGGAGGGAGTTCAAAAGCTCGGTCATTTGGCTCAAAGTAAAACATCTCTGAGAGCCCCAGAGATCCTCATGGGGTCAGCGGAGCCTGTCGGATACAACCTAGCTCTGCTTTTCCCTCTGCCCAGGCTTGTATCCTCTCCTTCACCAAAAGTGTTGGTGCTGAACACCAAACACTGTAGTAGAGAGAATAATAACCCCCTAAAGATGTCCTTAACCCCTGGAATCTATTACTTTGCAGGGGTGATTAAGTTAAGGCTCTTGAGATGGGAAGATTATCCTGGATTATCCAGGTGGGTCCAGTGTAATCACAAAGGTCCTTTTAAGAAGGAGACCAGAAATCAGAGAGGCGGGCAGTAAATGTGAAAATGGTAAATAATTTATAGGTTATGGGTAATATTTGGGAAATCTGGGTGAAGAGTATACTGCCAGGAGGGGGTTACATCAGTTTACGATACGCATAGTAATCCCTCCTCCAGTGCCAGGGATTGGATTAAAAATGGAACATGTAGCTCTGTTTAGATAAAGGGTCTTAAGGACAAGCCTGCTGAGAGATCTCAGGAAAGGTTTCAAGAAAGGCGATGAGCCTTACAAACATTATGGTCGTTATGCTTGGTGAAATAAGCCAGTCACAAAAGACCACATACTATGTGATTCCATTTCCACGAAACATTCGGAATTAGCAAATACGTAGAGATGGAGAGTGGAGTAGAGGTTGCCCAGGGCTGGGGGCGGGGGTGGTTATGGAGAAATGGAAAATGATTGCTAATGGATATGAGATTGCCTTTTGGGATGAAATGTGTTGGTTGGGGTGACAGCTGCAGGACTCGAGGAACACAATAAGGGGACAATTGCATGGTATGGGAACTATATCGCAATACAGCTGCAATGAGAATGAAAGCGATGGTCTCACTTTCTCCCTCAGGTAAGACCGTACGTGTACATAATACCCCAAATTGCCGAGGTGGAGAAGCTGAAGGGATTCCATCTTAGAAAGGCTCCGTCTTGGGCGTCTAGGTGGCTCAGTCGTTAAGCATCTGCCTTCGGCTCAGGTCATGATCCTAGAGTCCTGGGATCTAGCCCCTCATCGGGCTCCCTGCTCAGTGGGGAGCCTGCTTCTCCCTCTCCCACTCCTCCTACTTGTGTTCCCTCTCTCTCTATCAAATAAATAAATAAAAATCTAAAAAAGAAAAGAAAGACTCCATCTCTGCTGTTTTTCTGCTAAGCCCCATTTACTCATGTTCTATATTTGCTTCTGAATAAGTCAAAGAAGCTGTTTCCACTTCAAGGAGGGAACAAGAAAGTTAACCATTTCTAGTTCTGCCCTAGGCCTCCAAACACCCGATAACACCAAAGAAGAGCGAGATCCTGACCACGTTCCAGGACATTAGCTTCAGACAAACCTCTGCTGATGCTGGCATCAATACCCCTACCTTTGGTAATTTATAACACCTATTATTCACCTGTCACCTGCCTTTGATCAGACCCTACCCTGGATTCTTAAAGGAACATGTACCCTAGACCCCTTTGCAATATAAACCCCGAATCCCAAGCGATGACGAGACTCATTCTCCTTTGCTTTCTGAGTCTCCCCGTCACTCCGTCTGCTATTCTTTACCAGTCACTCACACTATTCAATAAACTCAGTTTTCACTTTTTCCAGCTTGCGTTTGATTTCTATCCTGCATGAAGCCAAGGACCATCTTGGCTGGTCCTACAGGACCTTCCTCTGGGTGCTCAGAGCCAGCCTGCCTGCATCACTGCCACAACCCGAGTTCAGCCATGAAGGGAACCAGTTTGGGCCGATGCCAACTCACAGAGGATGGGAGAGAAAAGACAGAAAGAACCTGGGTCCTCGATGACATCATTGAGCCACATGGTTGTACTATGCCTGGAGCTTGCTCGAACTCTGGACATCCTATTACAGGAAATAACACATTCCCTTATTGTGTAAGCGAGTTAAGAGTCAGGGTTTTCTGTTTCTTGAAGCCAAGAGCACTGAACTGATAAACTGCAAGCCACAGGCTATTGGTGGGTAGAAGACATAGTAAAGACAGTATTTTTAAAAGATGTTAAGTTTTTATGAGGAATACAGGTGAAAGTAAATGGCAGATACTACTGATAACAATGGTATGTCTAACCTTTTATTGATCCTAAAATCATTCTCCAGCCATTCCCCTGGATCTATGCCGTGCTTGTTGTCGATAGATTTACTAACAAGAAAAGAGTTAAAGGTTCAGAAAAACTGATATAATGCTCATCCCTACGAATAGCCTTATACGTAGCATCTCAGATGAAATCTGCCTGTGGGAATAGGTGCTCCCCAGTCAGAACTTCTATCAGAGAAAATTATGTATGAATTCTTTTAACATTCATTTTTGGTTTGTTTACTTATTTTATGCATACAGACTCCTCTTCAGACTACTTTGTTTCCCCTAAGAAAAGGTACAAAATGGTGTTCTTGTGGTATTTATACTTAAAATCTCTTCCTTGTTGTGACCTTTACTATCCACTGCATTTACTACAACCAGATTGGAGACATGTAAATGAGGCCTTTTAAGAAACCAGCAGGTTCCTAGGAGAGAGAATATCTTCCACAATGTAACACAAGATTTTATAAGACCCTCTGTAATGCCCATTCTCGCCCGTGATCTATATGGGCCCTGCCTTTTTCTGAATGTGACTTCTCTTATTAACGTATCTCCTTGTCATCCTTTGCCACCTACCCCTCCTCATGACATCTGGCCTTGGCTGGCACTTTCTAGCTGCCTGTTTAATTTAATATAGCAGTGAAAAGCAACAAAGGTGTGGTCCCCACTAATTGCATCAAACAAGGTCTCCAATTTTGTTCTGCAAAACCCAGTCTCCCAAAGTAACTCAATGCTAAGTATTCTGGAACAAGAAGGGGGTAATTCTATCTATAATGAATCTTGAGTCAATTTTTTTAAGACTTTACGTTTTAGAGCAGTTTTAAGTTTAAATTGGGAGGAAAGCAGAGAGATTTTCCACCTATGCTTCTGCCCCTACACTTGCCCAGCCTCCTAAAATATCAACAGTTCTCACCAGAGTAGTACATTTGTTACAATTGCTGAACTTATACTGACACATCATAATCACCCGAAGTCACAGTTTACCCTACAGTTCACTCTTGGTGCTGTACATCTTATGAGTTTAAAGAAAGTATAATGACATATTTCCATCGTTTTAATATTGTACAGAGTAATTCCACTGCCCTAAAAATCCTCTGTGTTCTGCCCCTTTATCTCTCCCCACTCCCACCCTGGCAACCACTGATTGTTTTGTATTCATAGTTTTACGTTTTCCAGAATGTCATCTAATTGGAGTCATACATTATGTAGGCTTTTCAAATAGGCTTCTTTCACCTTGTAATATGCATTTAAAGTTCCTCCATGTCTTTTCATGGCTTGATAGCTCCTTTCTTTTTAGCACCAAATAATACTCCATTGTCTGGATGTACCACAGTTTATTTATCTGTTCACTTACTAAAGGACATCTTGTTTGCTTCCAAGTTTTGTGCAATTATGAGTAAATCTGCTATAAACATATGTGTGCAGGTTTTTGTGTGGACATAAGTCTTCAACTTCTTTGAGTCAATACCAAGAAGCATGATTGCTGGCTCATATGGTAAGAATAGGTTTAGTTTCGTAAGAAACCACCAAACTGTCTTCCAGAGTGGACGTACCAGTTTGCATTCCTACCAGCAATATATGAGAGTTCCCGTTGCTCCACATTTGGTGGTGTCCAGTGTTCCAGAATTGGGCCATTTTAATAAATGTGTAGTGGTATCTCGTTGTTTTAATTTGCGTTTCCCTGATGACATGTGATGTGGAGCATCTTTCATATGCTTGTTTGCTGTCTGTGTATTTTTTGGTGAGGTTTCTGTAAAGGTGTTTAGCCTATTTTTAAAATCAGATTGTTTTCTTCTTGTTGAGTTTTAAGAGCTTGTTGATTATTTTGAATAGTCATCCATTACCAGATGTGACTTTTGCAAATGTCTTCTCCCAGGTTTTGGTTTGCCTTCTAATTCTTAGTACTGCCTCTTGCACAAAATAATTTTTTCATTTTAATAAAGACCAGCTTATCAACTTTTTTCTTTCAGGGATCATGTTTAGTGTTGTATCTGAAGAGGCATCACCATATCCACGATCATCTAGGTGTTCTCCTGTGTTACCGTTAGGAGTTTTATAGTTTTTTATTTTATGTTTAGGTCTACGATCCATTTTGTTTTTTGGGTTTTTTTGTTTTGTTTTGTTTTGTTTAGGATTTTATATATTTATTTGATACAGAGAGAGAGCCAGAGAGACAAGTGGGGGAAACAGCAGAGGGAGAGGGAGAAGCAGACTCCCCACTGAGCAAGGAGCCTAACGCGGGGCTCGATCCCAGGACCCTGAGATCATGACCTGAGCCAAAGGCAGACGTCCAACTGACTGAGCCACCCAGGTGTCCCCTATGATCCATTTTGAAGCAACCTCTGTGAAGAGTATAAGGTCTGTGTCAAGATTTTTTTTTTTTTTGCACGTGGATGTCCAGTTGTTCCAGCCCCATTTGTTGAAGAGACAATTGTTCTTCACTGTACTGTCTTTGCTCCTTTTCAAAGATCAGTTCATTATATTTATGTGGCTCTATTTCTGGGCTATTTTGTTCCATTGATCTGTCTATTTTTTCCCCAATACCACAGTGTCTTGATTACTGTAGCTTTATAGTAAGTCTTGAGGTGGGATAGCATCTGTCCTCCAACTCTGTTCTTTTCCCTCAACATTTTGTTAGCTATTTTGGGGTCTCTGCCTCTCTGTTTAAACTTTGGAATCAGTTTGTCAATATCCATAAGCTAACTTGCTGGGATTTTGATTGGGATCGTAATGAATCTATGGATAAAATTGGGAGGAACCAACATCTTGACAATATTGAGTTTTCTATCCATGAACATGGAACATTTCTCCATTTATTTAATTCTTCTTTTATTTCATTCATCAGAGAGGCAAAATATAAAATAGAGTTAACAGGCATGCAAGAGACCATGAGAAGATCCCATAACCATCTAGTGGTATCTCCAGAAGGAGAGAATAGAGAATAGGAAGAAGCAGTATTCAAAAATACTGGCAGATATAGCAGACAGAAACTGTACAACACTAAAGGCAAAATCCTAAAAGAACCCAAAGGAAGAGGAAGGCAAAGGAAATTAAATGAAAATGTATAAACATGGGTGAAGGTGGCATCCTTGTTCTGCCACTAGTCTCTAACCTGTAGCAGTGATTATAATCTGCCCCTCTGCTACCCATTCCACACTTCCTCACCTTAAGCCAGGCTTCTGCTGGTTAAAATTTGAGGAGGGAAATCAAATCTTCATTCCTGGGGGACTGAGTTCAAGGTCCTGCCTGGATAGAGATGCAGTATTCCCTCATTAACATTTGCCCTTAGACCTGGCAATATAAAGAAGTGTTCAGGGATCCCCTGGATTTCATGCATATAACTACCTGCTCTCATTGTATAGCGACAACTTTGTTTGCCCTTGAAAATTGGGCAAAAGTCTCTCACCAGGAAAGACAGATCTTTTGCTTAAGGCCCCTGATGACACTTTTCCATCTCCACTTTATGTAGGCTTGGCTACAAGCTGAGTCACTGGGACTCAGCCAGCTCAACAAAGAATTCAAGATCTGGCATTGGGTGTAGACTCTGCTAGCTGAGCTCCAAATCCTAGTTATTTCCCTAGTAAAGATGCTCCCTTTGTCACATAGTAGACCAGATGTTCCTGTCCCTCTCCCAATTTCCCTAGGAATATGGAAAGTAGGAGGGACAGGATTTCACTACTGGAGGACTTCCCATGGTATGCCCAGCTGTGCCTAATCTAAGCACATCAGTACGGAATAATGAGAGTTTGTGGGATCATATAACACACACTCTTTTCCTTCTCCTTCTCTTCCCTTATTCTTCTTTTGCTGCTGCTGTAAGTTTTTCTCCATAGACCTTCCTTTACACCTTCAATAGTATTTGCATGAGGCAGTGTGTGTTTGCCCATGTGTGCACATGCTCATCCATGCCCCTTGCATATTGCTATCTTAACCTGGGTTCTACAAAAGCAGAGGCTGAGGCTGAGAGCTAATGCGTTGTTACTTTTTAAGACATGACTCCCAGGGAGGAGGAAGATGAGGACGAACAGGGAAGTGTTCTGGCCACTTTAAGTGGACCTATTGCTTCATCC